TTTTTTTTGTGAGAGAAGAGTGTAATGATTATGGGTTGGATGTGATGTTTTGTTTTTTGTGGCTAAAATAGCATATTTTGTCTTTTGTGGCTAAAATAGCCAAAAAAGCCCCATTTAGCTCTTGCCAAACGGAGCCTAAGGCTATTTTTGGAAATTTGACTTGAGCAAAGAAAAAAAAAATAAGTAAAACTTTTTAAATTTTTTTTTTTTTTTTGAATGAGGAAGATGAAAAGAAATAAATATATATTTGTCAAGAAATCATTTTTTGTTTAATTATCCATAAAAAATAATATGTATAAGTAATTTTAGTTTTCTTCAAATTTTTTTTCTCAACAAATCTAAAATCCAAAAACTGGATATCATATTCTCATGACGATGATGATGAAAAAGAAGTAGCATTACGTGTTGGGTTATATATGGAGTTTGAGATCCAATTGGTTTATTAAAAAAATTTTAATTTGGTTTGATTTTGGTATAATATATTTTATATATATTATATTTAATTTGTGGAGACCTAATTCAATTCGATAACAATTAGGGTTTGATTACAAAAGCTAAAATTCAATAATATATATATATATATATATATTGGTTTTGTTGCTTTAGTGCTTGGTGTGCACTTGTGGGTTTGTTATTCAAGCATAAGCTTGCTGTGTTGGGGAGCAGAAGTCTTAGATCAAACTCGGTGTTTTTTTTTTGTGCGTGATGTGATGCTGTTTTGAAGCAGATTTGGGATAATTATTTTGGGTCTTCTATAATTCTGTTTTTAAAGATTTTGGTTTATCTATTTGATGAGGTCTTTCCTCTTTATTTATTTATGATTATTTGGAAATTCACTGGTTTGTGAGACCATTTGTGTCTCGTTTGTAATCGTTTGGAAACTTATTTGATTGATAGTGGAATTGGATTTCGATTCCGTAGACGTACCTCACATTGAGGGCACCGCCTAAAAATTCTTGTATTGCTTTTGATTTAATTTTTTCGCATTAATTTTTATTCCCATTGATTGATTTACTTATGAAGAATCATATTTTCCTTAACATTACAAAGGTATCCCATCACGGAGATTGTCATGTAGTACCCTTCATCAATATAAATGGCTATACTTTATGTTGTCTCTCAAATATTAACATAAAAAAGAAAATTATATTTATCCAAAAAAAATGCTACAAAAATGATATAATAATGCTATTTTTGCAAATAAATATAAAAATCCATATTAAATTACATCATTTTGTGTAAAAATTACTGTTATATATATCATTACTTACACAGATAAGGGCTCCGCTTGGAAATAGCTATTTGGAATTTTTTTGGCTATTTTAGTTATAAAAAACAAAACATCACATCCAACTCATAATCATTACACTCTTTTCTCATAAAAAAAAAATCAAAAAAACTAAAAAATCTTTTCCAAATCAAACTTTTTAGCCTACGTTAAAATAGCAAAAAAAGTTAAAAAATTAAAAAACCAACCTACTTCCCAAACGACACCATAATTTAATGATAGAAAGTTGTAAAATGTAGTCATAATTGTAATAAAAAAAAATGATAAGTAACAGGGCAAGATGATCATTTAGAAAATTTTAGGGTATGACATTAGCAATTCATGGGGTAATTTGTAATGAGATTACAAACCTCAGGGAGAGGGATGTAATTTTTCAAATGTGAGGAGAAAATCTGTATTAAACAAAAATCTCAAGGGGTGTCAGTGTCATTTACTTGACTTTTTTTTTAGAGATATCAATTGTCATAATTAATGAATTTAAAAGTAGGATAAAATAGAAAATTCATGTTATATTATCCTTTTTTTGTTTTGAAAAAAAGACTAATATTTTAGAATAATAAAAAATGAAATAAATGACTAATATTTTGGGACGAAGGGGTAATATTTCTCTATTAATGATTAAAAAAAGGTTTAGTTTATCTCATGTTCGTATCTTAATATAAGAGAATTTGAGGGACCCATAAAATCCACTACAAGTTTTGTTTCGATGATCTGAACCGTTCATATTTTATGACTGGTTGAGTCGAATATTTATTTAAAAAATCAAAGTAATCGAATATTAGTAACTATATGTCTGAATTAAATTTGTATTACAAAAAAACGGATGCTCATGATTAAAATTACATTTATCGTCAATTTTTTAAAAACTAATCAGCTTGTTTGGTTTGGATTTTCAGGATTTACTTTTCAAAAAATTGAAATTTTTTGTTTTTCGTATTTTTAGTGAATTTTTTTTAATATTTTAAGTGATTTTTCAAATTTTTAGATATACCTAACATAAATACACTTATAAAGTATAATATTTATGAAAAAATCTTTAGAAAATTTACTAAATACAACAAATAGAAAAAAAAAATATAAGAATTCAATATATTTTTCGTATTTTTTTGTATATTTATTTATTTTTTAAAATATTTTTTACCTTTTAGATATATATCTAAAAAAAATAAAAAAAAAATTACTTAAAATTTTAAAAATACTCACTAAAAACAAAAAAAAAAATAAAAATAATAAATTTAATTTTTTAAAAATTAAAATAAAATATAACAAATATGAACATATAATTATCTATATTTAAATATGTTAATTTTTTGATATTATACTCTCCTCAACGAGATGCTAAAAGCTATTTCAAAATAGATGATAAATGCTTTTTTCAAATTATAATGACAATTGACAGAAGTCAAATCCATTAAAAATCCCAAAACGTTTTCATTTTCGAGATCATGAAAACAAAATGTAGAACAATTATTTCCAAAAATGGGAACCAAACCGTTTTGGCAAATACTTCAAAATTTGATGCTTCAAAAGAAGCAAATCAAGCTTCAATGTGTTGTAGATCTGTGTCCGATGCAAATGGTGAATGGATATATTGGAATAAATCGCAGCCAAAATTGCTAATTCCAGATTTGATTAAAAGAAGCAAATCAATCCTTCAATTTTTTCCATTCTTCAAAAGAAACAAACAAATCAAGTGATATTATTAGAATGCAGATCTGATCTGAAGCAAAAAGCATCAAAAAACAATAATATATGCAACTTCTGATGCATAAACTGTTGAGTTTGATCTTCATGTTTCATAATAAAAAAAGAAAGTCAAAAAAATTATCTCAAAGTAGCATTTTTGTTTCATTTACATACAAAACTGGGTACAATTCATTCAGCTAAACAAAACTCTTTCCATTCTGAATTTATTCTTTCTGCAATTCCATTTTGGTGGTATATATATATATATATCAAATATCCTTAGTATTAAAAAATTTACATGTGTTTTATCTGGAGAAGAAACGGAGAGAATATTTTCAGCAGTTGATACCACATTGTTTGACATCAGGCCCCTTTGTTTTCAGCACAAATGGGTCAATGCGGACCCATAGCAAGGAGAAGACAGAAGCCAGAAGCACTGACCATATGACAACGATGGTGGGTGTCCTGTTTTGCCTCCCCATGAGACCTTTGAGGAATGGATAGAGATGAACGATGACCCAAAAGGCAAAGAAGAGCTTTCCAAACAAGGGACCCCATGATTGGTACCCATTGTTTATGGCATCTGAAACTCCGGCCACAACCCCAACAAGGTTGATAATTAGGATTGTCGTTGGTGGGATAAGGAGGGTGGTCCATTTGAAAGCATATAGCTCTCCGAAATCCTCATCTTCTGTTGCCTTTGATGTGACTGTAAAGTTTGTGTCAATTCCAGCCAAAATCTTGAGCAGACCTTGTATGACGGCAAAGAGGTGAGCAGACACACCACCTATGACCCAAAACTGCTCGTTCCTCCACCATTCCTCTATGCTAACTCCACTCCACCTCAGCTCAAGAATGCCCGTTGTAAAGATTGAGATAAATAGAGCGATGAAGAAGAGACTTGCAAAGGTGCTTATCTAGATAATATAGAATCAATGAAGATTATTAAGTTGACTCGCAATAGAAGATAAGGCACTTGAAAGGAAATTCGGAGAACATGTGACTTCTGGATGTAATTATTTGATTTTTTTTTTTTTTTTAGGACAGTTTCATTGCATTTGGGGGCCAAAATTTTAAAGTTGATTTTCCTACCTCTTAGGTCATTAATTATTCTGGTTTTCTTTGAAGATACAATTGAGAGGATGTGGTAGTGTGTTAAAGTGACATGGAAAGGAAATTAGTGATATTGTTTCCATGTGTTGTCTAGAGTCAACACTTATGTTGATCATTTAAGTAGTGTGGTACGCCATATTCTTTAAAATGTGGTACAATAAGAGCAGACTTGTTTAGATTACACTACTAGAATTTTAATACTTCTAGAACAAATTTTCTTTTAACAGTTACAACACATTTTTACGAGCTTCATGACCTATTTTTATGTTGTCATACCATAACTCCACTCTTTAATTTGTGTTTTCTCCTAAAGTAGCTTTTACAATTTATATTAGAAAATATTTCTGCGATTGTTTTGGATAGCTAAAAGTGTACCACGTTTCGGAACGTGTGTTCCAAATGGTAAATTGCTAGGGTATTAGTGTTTCCTAGTAACACTAGTCAACACATTCCCCAGTTAATTTGTACTAGTTGGAAGGAAGGACAAGGGTTATATAACTTGATTACCTCTGGCATAATGAATTTGTCTGTGAGCAAGCAGATGGCTGGGAGTGTACAGTAGGCAAGTAGAGGTATGGAGGTGAAGGGGTAAACAGTTGTGTTGATATATGCAAAGCGCTCGAGCCATTTAAGTTTTCCTCCCTTGTAGCCATACCAACCTGGGCTATGACGGCTGAAAAAAATCTCAACTGAACCAAGAGCCCAACGAAGCACCTGGTTAAGTCGATCTGAGAGGTTGATAGGAGCAGACCCTTTAAATGCAGGCCTATTTGGCATACAATATATGGACCTCCAACCACGACAATGCATCTTGAAACCTGTTAGGATATCCTCTGTAATAGACCCGTAAATCCAACCCAACTGCACAGTCAAGAATCATTAGGAATTGCTTTCTACTTATTGGACAATGGAAAATTGTTGGTTCACATATGCTTAAAATGATATTGTTGTTGTCAAAATTCATGACATTAGGCTCCCTTTGGATTTATGGATTTGAAATGAATAGATTTGTTATCAATAATTTGAAGAGTAAAACTTTGAAGCCAACGTAATATTTTAGATTTAGATATGAATAATGGATTTGAGAGCTTTGTAATGATGGATTTCAAATAACTTCGTAAAAATAGTTATTTGAAACTCTTCCATTAAAGATTTTACTCGTACAAAAACCTGAACAAAATACATGAAACATACCTCTATTCAATCCTCCACTTTAGAGTTATCATCTACTTTCAATAACTAATCTTCTTATATTTTTGCATAAAATTCCAACTTCAAATCCCTTCATTTTAAATTCACCCATCCAAAGGGAGCTATAAGGTTGTTAATCATTTGATATTACCTCCAAACCCCATTCAGTTTTGTCTTCATAACCACAGCTGATCACATGAATGGCTTCTTTCAGCAGGGCTGCTGGGCTCGAGGAAGGTGGGACGCCACCTTCAATCATTAAGGTTGAAGTCACAAAAATTGCTGACTGTCCAAACTTCTTTTCAAAATTCATCTGGGACATTAATAGCTCCTTGTCATCATCATCGAATCCTGCGAATAAGACAAACGTAACATAAGTGTCATAGGAAACAGTCTAGCACAGTACTAGTCATTGACAAATGTGTAAAGAATGTTGAAAAAACCTTGAACATTTGCACCGCCTTCATTTGCACCATGTTTAGAATATTCTGGAAGCTTTTTGCGGCGTCCAAAACATGGGCAGCAGTCACAACTTACCATTTTTGGGCGCTTTGGACCCTTTGGTGGATCATAACCATATAGCGCTTGTCTTCTGAAAACACATCCTGTGCCGACATACACAGGACCCTGGATTCCATCTAGACCTTTCATGTTAATCTGCCAAAGAAGAAAAATAAATATGCACAATTTAAGGGACGGAAAAAAAAAAATATAAGAAACAAATATTCTTTATTGTACTCTAAAAATCTGAGCAAAATCAGCATCTTGTAATATTGAGCAGAATCAGCATTGGGTAACGTTGTTGTGGTGGCATTTCTTGCAGGGACTTACATCAAAGAAGACTGTGTTTCTGTTGGCATATCGGTCATTCCTATCAATGCCATCGAACCTTTGAGGGAATTGAACATAGCAAACCTTTTTCCCAACTTGGTCGTCCATCAAGAAACACATTGCCTCTCGTGCGGCCTTGCTGTTGTTTATGTAATGGTCACAATCCAAGTTCAGCATGAATGGAGCATTGGTAAGAACTCCAGAGACACGAATCTGCAAGTATGCATCGCAAAGATGAAAGATCATACTTCATGATTTTAATTTAAGTTTGTGAATCTGCTTCCATGACAAGGCCAGATGGTCTCAAAAACCAAAATTTGCAAACCTGCCAGTAGTGCACACAATGTTGCTGGACAGATTACTTCAGGGTTAATTACGTTATTAGTCCCTGAAGTATACATTTTGTTACACTTTAGTCCCTAATTTTTTAATTATTCTACTTTGGTCCCTAAATTTTGCGATCTATTACACTTTAGTCCTTGATGTCAACGGCGTTCAAAATTAGTAACGGAAGGAGTATTTTTGAAATTCTAAAACAAAGTGATATGATCTAAAATTAAGCATTTTGTAGCATTTTAGTTTCTAAAATATGCATTTTATTTCATTTTAGTCTCTTAAGTATGCAATTTTTGCATTTTTTTGTCCCTAGTCTTTTTATTTCGCTGTATCGTTTTTATAAAATTATGAAAATACTCCTCCCGTTATTGATTTTGAATGTTCCGATGCTTTATATATATATATATATCGGAAATGGTGCTGATGCTAAGGATGAAAGTATAACAAATAATATATTTTGGGGACCAAAATGGAACACTCAAAAGATTGGAGATTAAAAGTGTAACATAACACATACTTTAGGGACCATTTGTGTAATTAATCCTGTACTTAACATTAGAATTTTTATTGTTTTAGGTAATAAAATAAAATAAATGGAATGAATAAGAGAAGAGCTTGTGATATTTACCAGGGCATTCATGGCACCTGCTTTCTTGTGATGTTGGAAACCAGGCCTCTTCTCACGAGACACATAGACAAGACGGGGAAGCTCATTTCCTTCTACATCGAAGCCTCCACTATGACCAAGAAAGACTTGAATCATGCCCGGATGATCCTTAGTATTGTTTCCTGGCCAAGGTGTACCATCTTGCATGATCCACCCTTCTGGTGGAACCTTCATGGCTTTTGCAACAAGTGCATTAATCCGAACCTTAAACTCCTCATACTCTCTCTGTCAATCATGGCAAGGTACATATGGAGTTATTATTATTCAAGAAGTTTTCAGTTGAGGTTAAATTTTGAAAATTATTGCCATTATTTTGGAAATATTTGAAAACAAAGACGTTACCAAACAAACAAACCTTCATTGCTCTACGCTCCTTGACAAATGTAGGCTGGACTTTGTCCTTGAGATAATCGATTTTGAGAGAGAAGTACATTTCTGGTGCTCGAGGCTCAATTGAAAAATTCTTACAGAAGGGAACCCATTTACGGGCAAATTCAGCAGTCTCGGACAGGGCTTCGAAGGTAAGCATTGAAGCACCATCATCAGAAACGTAGCATGAGATTTTGTCAACAGGGTAGTCCATTGCTAAGATTGATAGAATTGTGTTTCCTGTAACAAGAGGAGGTTCTTTCATTGGATCCACTGTACTGACAAAGATATCTACTGGAGCCAGCATGTTTGGTTCCCCTTCCCTCTCGTACCTACGTATGCATTAAGTTTATGATTTATATATAATTTTGTATGATCACCAAAAAAAAAAAAAATTCAACCTGGTTTCCTTTTTGAACTTACTGATTTCTCTCTGGTCTAGTGTTATGTTTTTAGACATGTAACTATATACAAAGATTAACTTCCTGCTTGAAGCAAACGTGAAATCCACTTCAAGTTGCTTTTTTCGGCTGTTTGGTGCAACTTATATGAGCTGCTTAAAGCTTCTTTTTTAAAATTTTGTGAGTTTATGTTAGACTGTTTGGTACAGTTTCTCTTTACAGCTTATTTTGCAGATGTAGTTTAAATAACCATAGAAGCTGTGAGAGTGGTGTTTTTGACTTCTATTTTATAGTTATTGATTTTCAACTTATAAGAAAAATTACATCAAATAGGCCTAAATTCTGAATACTTCACAAATAATGAGTATAAAGTAAGACAAAGCCCTGTCAATAATAATTTAACTCAAGACCTTGGGATTTACATTTGGTCCCACATCCCATTTAAACCACTGGACTTTTGTCTGTGGGTGTTACCTCAGCTACCCATCCTGCTATAATTTGGGAGAAAATTATTATATCACCTTGGGCAATGCTCAACGGCTCATAAGTCATAATTAATTCATGTGAGTCCGTTATAGCAACGGGACTACATTAACCAATTAATGACTATTGAGGCCATTAGACATTTGGCTATAAAGGGCATCAAATATAGAGTATCTTCTTGTAATTTGGTTTTCATACATGCCTAGTAGAGATGTATAATTCTACGGATTCTATCTATGGTGTTTGCAGCTGACCTGAGAGAAAGGCGATCGAGATATGTCTCACGATCAATTGGGGACCATTTGGGAAACTGATCAAGAATCCAAGAGAAAGCGAACCAGATCTCACAGATGACAGAAGTTAGCCAGAGCCCAATGGAGCCGTGAACTGGGTTCAATATTCTATAACGAAGAAAGACTGCCAAAACAAGAAGCCGAGTCACGATAATCATGCGGTAAGGGTTGATCTTGCTTGATGCAATTGGTACTTTTCTTGACAGTGGCTGTCTTGCTTCATCTAACCTGTGAGTACATATTCATCATCCATTCATACATACAAACAAACAAACAACAACAAATGTGAGTTAAAGAGCACTGTTTGGTTGGAGCTCATATTGTTCAAAAACTGTATGATTTTTTAATTCGTTTTTTGAGAATTGGTGTAGAATTAATTAATGTTCTTCATTCAGTTATATGGCAATGTATGTTTGGTGGGGAGAAGAACTCATTACATGGCCATGTCAGGGTCAGCCGAGTCATCCATTTCTGGGCCCAGATTGCCTTGCTGCAATTTCCACTCATCCATTCTCTCTTTCCAACCTCCCTCTTTCTTTTCATCCCATCTTGCACTTCCTAAATATGTAGTACAACATCATACCATGTTACACATAAAAATATACACAGAATTCAGACCGATAGGATTTTAGAGTATTTGTTGGTCTAGCAAATCATGTTGGTTCATATATATACATCTTATATGATAATTTTGTGTTTGCTGAGAGATATTGGTAAAAAAAAAAACAACTTATTGTGGGGAAGTGTTTTTGATTTGATCTCAACATGTAAAGTGAGAGAGACATGGAAATCTAGCTACCAGGCTCGGAGACTGGATATGGATGCACGGCACGTTTATGTAGAGAAGAAGATAACATCTGATGCTCTCCTCCGTGTGCATGAGTTGATGATATTGGTAACTCACCACTCACCTGCATTCATGCATGAATTTATGAGGTTGAGTACTATTAAAAGATAAAATTAAAGCAAAAGAGATGCACTAATTTTTTTTTGGAAAAACCTATTTGCACATAAAAATATGTACAAAAATAAGCACCGAAAGCCATGCCCTTATTTATGTTTTGTATACATTTCTATACACGTAGCATATAGTTACTAGTATTTTTTTCATGAACAAAGAGTTTGATTTGGTTACCGGGCGGGAGCGACCACCAGATATAACAGGTGGGTATTGGGAGTTATCATCATCGTCCATACCCCTTCCATAGCTCATCTTGCCATAAAGCATAGCTTCTGCAACATGTTTGTTATTGTTCTTGTCTTGTTCATGGTCGATTTTGAATTCGTGTTCAATATCATCCACATCTTCCTCATCTTCATCTCCCTCCTCTCTTGGGCTCCCTTTTTTTGTTTCAAAAAAAAAAAAACAAAAACATATATTAGTATTCCTTCCTCTTGTGGTTGATTCTAGGTTTAGCACATATAAATTCTTTACTGTCACTGCAATCCTCATAATGTAATCGAACAAATGGACTTTAAATTCCAATGATATCAAATGAAACAAATTAGAATGTTGAGTTTTCATTTTTTAATCTTTCTGTTTGTAATGTTTTTCAGAATGAAAACGATGAAAAACGTTAAAAGCACTCATGGTTTTGATTTTATGTCTAGGTACCACCTTTGAGGCGTTTGTATCTGGTCTTGCACTGCGGGCACAGTTGAGTCCCTTCTCTTCTCTCATACTCGTAGCATGGTCGGCACACCGGAAAACCACATTCGTTGCACGCCACGAACAAATCTCCATCCACGGTGAGTCCAATGTCATCGCCACATATCTCACAGACTTGACCATTCAAATCCTTCGAAGTCTTTGGCTGCACACCAATATTACCAAAACAAAACAAACATGTTATAGTTATAGTAGTCTTCGCAACTCATTTTTTGTCGATGAGAAAGTCTAGGCATACAGAAGCTGATGAGAAAATTGATTCTGTAATTGGTTTATGTGTAAATAGAAAAACTATTTAGCAATTGCAGTATTTGTGTCTGTGTGTGTATATCATGTACCTACCTCTTCATGGCCATGGATGACAACAAGCTCGTTGCGGTTGTGAGATCCGGCAACCAGTCCAGCATTGGCTTCCATGCCGGACAGGGATGGAGAAGGAGTGGTGGTGGTGGGTTTTGTGAGCCTGAGCCTGAGGGAGGGTGGTATGGTATGAAAGAGGTTTGGGGGGTTCTATTTCTCTCTTTAATGAATGAAAATGAAGGGTAGGGATAGGGATATAGAGTATAGTATCAGTCTCTCCTCCCACCTAATGTGTCCACATAATGAGTGTTGGTGTTGGTTGCAGAGTCTCCATTGCCTTGAAGTTAAGCTTCCTCTATCTCAACTACCATGCATACTCTCTCTCTCTCTTTCTCTCTCTCTCTACCACCTTGTTTACAAACAATGTTTGGCTACGTCTAAAGGAAATGATTAGGAGTGTAAAAATGGCCGCGGCTGGAAGTTCGCTAGCGGCCCGGGATGGGCCCGGTCCGTTTAGGATTGTTTGGGCTCGAGCCCCTATGCCTGGGCTTGAGCCCCTAGGCCTGGGCTTGGGCTGGGGCCATTATTTTGAAGTCTGACCCGACATGTGGCCCAACTCATCGGACTAACTTAAGACCCACTTCAAACACGGTCCGAGACTCAGCATTTTTTTTAGTGGAAAATAATAAAATTTTGGCAGAAAAAAATTAAAAAAAAAAAAATGGTCAGGCCCGCTCAAGTTCGACCCAAGCCCGAGGCCTGCCCCACCCAAGGCCCAAATACCCTTGGGCTTGAGCCTGGGTTTAGGCCTAATTTTTTAAGGCCTGAGTGGGCCAAGTCAGGTCAGATTTACACTCCTAGAAATGATATACAAACTCATTTTTTAGACTTATTTTATAAATTCAATAATGCACAAGTGATATGATTGATTGATGATTAGAAAAGATATGAGAGAGAGTGTTACTGTCATATCACTCGATTTGAAAATTAGGTCTAATTTTTTGTCTTAAATAATAATGTTGGTCTAAATCATCCTTGATATGATTGATTGATGATTAGAAAAGATATGAGAGAGATTGTTACTGTCATATCACTAGATTTGAAAATTAGGTCTAATTTTTTGTCTTAAATAATAATGTTGGTCTAAATCATCCTTGTGATGTGCAGTGATTTCCCAAAAGGCCCTTTCTATATTAAACCGTCTATAGTACATGCCTTTGTATCTTAAATTTTGCGGTGACAAGAGGGCATCATGAGGTGTGAAGAGCATTGATTTTCACAACCTCACACATTGTAGTACTATTCATTTTCATTCTACACTATCACATGCGATTCTTATATAAGATGAACTAATAATAGTAAGTGTATAGTGATTAAATTTATCTAGGAATTTATGTCGACAAGGACATGAGACAGAGAATGGAAGAGAAAGGAATAGTGGGGATTTGGAGCCATATGACCCTTCTATAGGAAGTGGTAGCTCCTCATTTCTTTTTAAAACTAAAATAAAATAAAATTGGACCAAAAAAACATTTCAGGATTTGACCCTAGTAGTAACAAATTAAATTTTGAGATTTTAATTTTGTTAATTTGAACACTAAGTTTTTAACTTGATAACAATTTTAAACATGCGTCCATCTTTGTCTTTGAAGAGTAACAATTGAATTTTTTTTAAACACGCCATCCTCTTATTTGTTATTTTAAATTAATATAAAATAAAAATTATTTTACCATAAATCTTATTACAGTGGATCAACCATCCTTATTTCTGAACTCTCTCTTTCTTCCTCCAGCATTGCCCCTTTTCCTTAGGTTGTATTTGGTTGGAAGATTTGATGATGTAAATAGAAAAAGAAAGTAAAATAGAAATAGAATTAATGGAATTCGAATTTCAAACTATGTTTGGTTGAGTTGGGAAATTGAGAAAGAATCTCACTTTCTTTTCCCTTATGTTTTTCATTATAACCAAATAAAAAGTGAGATTGCATGTCCTTTTTCTTTTTATTTCTCTTATCAAATTCTCTAATTAAACACAATCTTACTGACCTTTCTTCCCAGCATTGCCCCCTCTTCTCTAGAAGCATTCCCTCACCCACTACTCTTCCATCCCGCAACCGCACTACCTTCCCACACCACATTTCCATTCCCTAGCAACTCTTCCTTTCCCCCCACAACACCCCCTTCCTAACACCACTTCCCTCTTTCTCAACAACACCTCCTTTCCCTAGAACTCCCTATCCTAATGACCCTTTTACCTAGCACCGCTCTAGAAGATGGAATCTAGTAAGATACAAATGATTCAAATGATCCAGATAATGGGAGCCGAATAGATTAAGGTTGGATCGACAATAGAGAATATCTATGTGGATCAAAGTTGTCCAACAATGAGATCTCTTAGACCCACGTTGTTTTCCCATCTCTTGGATAACTAGTGGTTGATTTGAGGGAAATGGATGGCGATGGAGAGTGGGGGTGTTAGTTCTGAGGGAGAGGAGTGGCAGAGTTCTGAGGGAGGGGGTGGCAAGGAAGGGATGTTGGCATTGGATTTGAGTGAGGGGGTGGCGGTAAAAGGTTGTCAGTGATGGATATGACTTATGCATAAAATCATAATAAATTTTGTTCAATAGTGGATATAATAACAAAAATACCGTTCCTGGTTAGTTTTGCTTAATGGAAATATATGAGTGGTTATGATTGATACTAAAACAGAAAATTAAAATTTTAGAGTTTAATTTGTTAATAGAGTCAAATCTCGAGATTTTTTTTTTTCTCTCCTTTTGTAATTTTTCCAATAAAATTGACAGTGCACACGACTATACACTGATTAACAGCACCAAAACTAAAACTATGTTTATTTTCAGTTTTTTGAAAACACTTTTCAGAAAAATTTTAGTTTATTATTTTTCATATATTTTTTTTTATTTTTATTGACTTTTTTAATATTTTAAGCAATTTTTAAACACACCTGACATAAATACACTTAAAAAGTATAATTTTTCTGAAAAAAATATTTTAAAAAAATTCACTAAATACAAAAAATACAAAAATTTAATATAATTTTTTTGTATTTTGTGTATTTATTAAATTTTTAAAATATTTTTTTACAAATATTTTATTTTTTAAATACATTTAAGTAAGGTACATCCAAAAAAATAAAAAAATACTTAAAATTTTAAAAATATTCACTAAAAACAAAAAAAACACGAAAAATAAAAATTCAATTTTTAAAAAACTGAAACCAAACACACTTTCTCAACAAAGAATTTGGGAGAGAAGTAAGTAAGAAATACATATCTCATGTCATAGGATTATATATCATGGATAACAGATGAGATCATGAAAATTATAAGATTACTTACAATGTTTGGCTAATGTAAGAATAAATAGCGAAATAATGTTTAACGGATTATTTTTAGCTGTTAGATGAAGGTAAGAACATAATTCAAAGGTATAGATTATCTATCCAATTAGAGAGGTAGGATTATTTATCCCCATTTTGAAGGGTTAAATACACTCACATATATATTATAAATCTTGTATTTAATAAAAAAAACATTTGTGCATACGAGAATAAAAATGTATTTAACAGCTCCCACATTTCAAGAAGGCTCTACCCACTGTATGATTTATTCCATTCAACTACAAACTTGTGACATTTTTTACTTATTTGATCAAAATTACTTTAAAATCTACACCAAACTATCATAAAATAGTCCGATAACCAATTATATATAAGTGAAATTAAAGTAAAAATTGGAACTTTGTAAAGGCACATATAACTTAAATCATGTACTTGAAAATAAAGTTGATGAGATTTCACATACTTACATGATAAATTTTTTTAGAAAAATGAACTGAAGCCTCATATTTTTTTTGTTCTCTTTTATATTAAAGGCACGGGTGATTATTCAGTGCTTCAGGAGTATGGACATGTGGTGCTCCATAATATTTTGATTGGTGAAGAGATGCAAAGGTCCACGATTTATATTGGGGATGAGGAACAATATAGGATTAAGTAATTAGTGATTGATTTGGAATATGGACACATGGTGATCAGGAGTATTGAATAATTTTCCGGAAGGCACATGCTCTTATAACCTCCCCCCCCCAAGGCACGGGTAATTATTCAGTGCTTCAGGAGTATGGATATGTGGTGCTTCATAATATTTTGATTGGTGAAGAGATGCAAAGGTCCACGATTTATGTTGGGGATAAGAAACAATATAGAATTAAGTAATTAATGATTGATTTGGAATATGGACACGTGGTGATCAATACAAAATATAATTAATACAACAAAAAAATCAAATATATAAAAAATAAGGGGCGATTATTCAGTATTATCGGAATATGGACATGTGGTGCTCGATAAGGTTTCGATTGGTACAGTGGGGTAGGGACCCACGATTTATGTTAAGGATGAAAAACAACATGAGAATTAAGTAATTGGCTTGGAATATGAACACGTAATATTCCAGAATTATTAAATGATTTCCCAAAAATAAGATCCACAATAAGAGTGTGATGTAAAAGTTCGAGCAATTAGCCTTTAACTTTCAAAACTAATAGAACATAACTTTTCAAACGAAGTTTAAATCTTAGATAAGATCGAGTTAGGTGAGTTATGCTTGACACATATATGTAATCTTACTTGTATATTTCAACAAAGGATAAAAAGGCTTTTGATAATGCATTCCAACTTTAAATATGAATGTATAGTTTAACCCTTATGTTTACAAGCTAACTTCTATTGTATCATTGATATCAACTACCACACCTATTTTCTTTGAATTGTTATTGCATGTATTTGAATATTGAATTTGTTGAAACGAAAAAAATAATATAGAATTATTTATATGTACTCATTTTTTAAAGGATTTTTAATTTAAAAAAAAAAAAAAACCCCATATTATACAACATTAAGTCTTTATCTATTTTCTTATAACACTTCAAATCCTATACCCCGTCAAATGCCCAAAGAAAAAAAAGCTCATGTTTGCAATTTAACTGGACAAGCTCATAAGGGCAACTCTAATGATTTTATTATTGGTCGTGTGAAAACTAAAAAATGACTTAGTTTTACAAAATGATTACTTCAATGGTGTGTCATTATAGTCAGAAAATTGCAAAGCCAAATTTAATTTAAGATTTGGCAAAACCATCTTGTTGCTAAATGAAGGAAAGAGAGAGAGATATGAGGGAAAAGAGCGTCAAACTGTTTGAAAAAAAAGTTAGTTGACTTTAGTAGATGATTGTGCTAAAATAACAAGTCTCCATTGGAGTGATATAGTTAAAAATTATCTTTTGTGCCCTGTCTGTAGCAAGCTAAAAAATAACTTCGACAAACCATTTTGACTTGAACAATTTGAGATACTCTAACAAGAGCTATTAAGATAAACCGTGCATATTTTACGTCTTCGTGTAAATCATTTAAAAAATAAAAACTAGATTGATTTGACAATGATAGTCACAAAATTTAAATCTATGTCTTTTAAAAAATAAATGTTATATTTTTAAAATCAGATGTACTATATATATTTTTGAAAAATATTATAAAATCACATAGTTATATTTATCCGATTAATGTAATTTTTTTTATAAATAATCTACACACATAACGGTAAAACGTGAACAGCTTGAATCGTGAGACCCTACTATGGGCCTAGAAAATAAAATTAAATCTATCTAGTTAAAACACAAACTTGAGACAAAATCGTTCTACACTAATAATAGTGTCTATTAAATATTTATAAATATAAAAAAAAAATCAATATTCTATATAAATACAGTACGAATATCAAAAAATATATCAATATTTGATATAAATGTAATATAAAAACTATCAATATTCGATATAAATACAATACGAATATCCAAAAAAATATCAATATTCGATATAAATACAATAGGTATATGTGCTTAGTATTACTCATACTTTCACCAATTAGTCATGTTGCTGATGAATAATATTAACATCCCACATTAAAACAAGGTTAAAAAAGGTTTTATTCAAAGCTATTATATGAGATCCAAGTATTGATGAAGTTGCAGTTGAATATATGCAGCAAATTATATATAAAACTTAAAAACAAGGTTTTATTCAAAAGCTTTCTTACAAACAGCCTATATATAAGTTCACAATCTTTCTCAAGTCAAAACTAAAGTACAAAAACAGAGTAAAAAAACAGAGCACCAAAACAGAGTCCACATGCTTCTTATTTATTTATAAACAAACAAAACCCCCCTCTTTAACATCATCTAATCAACCTCTTCAATCTTAGGTCCACCACCACCACCACCACTAGAACCACCACCACCACCACCAGCAGGCATATCACCACCACCCATAGGCCCATCACCACCACCACCTTGATACATCTTAGAGATAATTGGATTGCACAAATTCTCCAATTCCTTAAGTTTGTCTTCCAACTCATCAACCTCAGCCAACTGGTTCCTATCCAACCACTCTATCGTCTCCTCCACTGCCTTCTCGATCTTCTCCTTGTCTGCCGGGTCCAACTTGCCCCCAAACTTCTCATCCCTCACTGTATTCCTCATGTTATACGCGTAATTCTCAAGCGCATTCTTCGCCTCCACCTTCTTCTTAACCTCCTCGTCCTCTGCCTTATACTTCTCTGCGTCTTTCACCATCTTCTCAATGTCTTCTTTGCTCAGCCTGCCCTTGTCATTCGTGATCGTAATCTTGTTCTTCACACCCGCTGTCTTGTCCTCCGCCGTCACATTCAAGATCCCATTCGCATCAATGTCAAAAGACACATTGATCTGCGGCACTCCTCTTGGCGCCGGTGGAATACCTATTAGAATTATCAAAAAAAAAACGAAAGAAATATTATATTCATATTGATATTCAACTTTTATTACAATAGTAGCTTTTTTTTTTTTTTTTTTTTTTCACCGGTGAAATTCAAACTGTTTGTTGTTAGATTAATACCTGACTTATTAATACGCCTCAAGTGCGAATTATGTGACGTAACTAACAAGTAACAAACAAGAAACCAAACTAAGAACCTAAGTAAAACAAAAATTCTATTCACCTAAAAAATAAACCAGAAAACTGTCTGGAATTACGTTGAATATTTAAGCTCTTGTTGTTATGGGGCCATAACATGAGTAAATTCTGAACTAATTTCTTGACAGGTAGTTTTCTGTTTCTACAAGTAAAATATGAAACACAATATTATGAAAATATTCTTAAACAATACCGGTGAGCTCAAACTTTCCGAGCAGATTGTTATCCTTAGTGTTGGAAATAGTAGGAAAATTCTGGGTAAAACCAGAATTTTTTTTCAAGTTTGGTCTATTTTTTAGGTCAGCCCCGAGTGCCGTTTTACTCGGGTCAAAATGGTAACGCGTTCTATGCCGCGTTGTGATTTACGTGGTATATTTGGTTGCTCAAAACCATTACCGAGTGAATGGGAAATTGAAGCCAAAGTGTGCTCCATAGAAATGGAGTTTTGGTAGAAATTTCTTAAGGTTGTAAAATGGCTTGTCCCACATTGATTTGGTGGGAAGTTTTGAAAGGGTTTATAAGGCATGGGTTTGGTACTTGGGGTGTGCCCCAAGGGGTACCCAAGTGTTTTAAAGGGAGAGGTTATGGGTAAAATGGGCTAGACCCATTGGACCCAAAAATCACCACACGCACCACCATCCATCCGGGCTTGCCTTGACTTAGGCACAGGTGCGTGGTGTGTGGTTGGGTTGGGCTTGTTCAGCCCAATACTAATCTTTTTGGGCCAAAAACATTTGAATTTTATTTTATTTTTGGTAAAATAAAATCCAGAATTCAAATTAAACTGATTTGAATTTTCTGTACATCCAAACAGGGCCCTTCCCGTTTTTAAACAGAAATAAACTAGTTTGGAATTAGTGCACACCCAAACAGGGCCCTTCCCGTTTTTTGCTATCTGTTTGAATTATCAACAGATTCAAATCTGTTTGAATTCAAAACCAACAGGTATCATACCTGTTCAATTTAAAACCAAGAGCCACCTTTACATCTATAAATAGGACCACCCTCATTACAAATTTCGTATTTCACCTCTACTTATTCTATTCTTCATTTTGTTGCATTTTATTTCTGAAAGAAAGAGTGTAAACACTTAGTGTGTTCGTAAGACAAACAATTTGTAGTGTTACTATTGTTTGTGGTAGATCATTTCATCGGAGATAGACGTCCAAATTCTGAAAGCACCGTGGAGAGGACGAATCTGTCTTAAGGACACAGTGTCAAACACTGGACTTGATCAGAAAATAATTTAGAGAAATTAAATCAAGTAAGTTATTTAATTTATTTTCAGTGTTGTTTTTATTTATTAAAATCAGATTTAAATTTTGTTTTTTAACAAAATAAAATCTGTTATTTATTTATTTACTTTTTATTTCGAGTTTGATTTTTGTAATCAAACAAATTCTCTCATTTTCTTGATTTCTTTATATTCTTGTTGTTGTTTTGTACACAACAGAATTTAATCTTTTTAAATACAGTGAAGATTGTCCAACACTTAGTCCTCGCTCTTTTGCCTTCGTAAACCTGAATTAGCACGCCGGGCTGATTATCCGAGTAGGTCGAGAAGACTTGCTCTTTCTTGGTTGGAATTGTGGTGTTTCTTGGAATCAAGGTTGTCATGACACCACCAGCAGTCTCGAGGCCTAGATCGAGCAGCAACAAGTCCTGCACCTTTTGGTTCCCTTCCCCAGTCAGAATCGCCGCCTGCACCGCGGCACCATATGCCACTGCCTCATCAGGGTTGATGCTCTTGCAGAGCTCCTTCCCATTGAAGGAGTCTTGCAAAAGTTGCTGGACTTTGGGAATTCGGGTTGACCCACCCACGAGAACCACTTCATCAACTTGACTCTTGTCAATCTAATTATGAATATTTTAAGAAAAATCAAAAGTTAATATTTGATTATTTCATTACATAACAGTTACAAATATAAATAATATATTTATTTCAATTCATAATGACCATTATAACCATTACTATATGATTATGAGGTTTTATTTCAAAGTTGTATTAAACATGAGTTTAAGTTTACTAATGGAGAAATTTTTTTTTTTTTTTTTTTATAACTCAGGGTGTTCGTACCAGTTTGCGCGCACCTCGACTAATTCCTGGGAGACCAATCCCGCCATCCACTAGCGGGGAGCCCATTTAAAACCAGAGCAAAGCGCTATATGGACTCGCCCAACACAAAGATTGATAGCACGTAAGAGATTTTGAATTTGAGACCCAGAGAGCAGCTACTAATTGAGAATTAATTTTAGATAAAAGTAATTTTCACATATAATATCATAAAGTAATTTTAAAACAGTGAGAGCGTGATATATTATTTTGCTAGATCAACAAACCTTGGCGTCACGAAGGCACTTCTCCACCGGTTGCATGCACTTCAAGAACAAGTCCATGCACAATTCCTCAAACCTCGCTCTTGTAAGGAATCGATTTCAATCGTGGTTTGTGTGGTTGAAGAGAGAGCCCTCTTCGCTTTCTCACACGCAATCCTCAACCTTCTCAACGCTCTCGCATTATTGGAAATGTCCTTCTTGTGCTTCTTCTTGAACTCTGCGACAAAATGGTTCACCAGCCGATTATCGAAGTCCTCGCCGCCCAAATGGGTATCTCCGGCGGTGGCTTTCACTTCAAAAATGCCCTATTCGATAGTCAATAGTGAAACATCAAATGTTCCGCCACCGAGATCGAAGATGAGCACGGTCTGCTCTCCCTTTTGTGTCGATTTCTTGTCCAACCCATAAGCAATTGCGGGTATAATTTTTCGACAAACATTGTTACTTCAAAATGAAGTACAATGTTGATTTTCGTGTCATAAATTCTTGTACTGTCTGCAGGAAAATATTATCTTATCGATGCTGGCTATCCAAAGCAGGTAGGTTACCTAGCACCTTTCAAAGGCAGCCGTTACCACCAACAACAATTCCGAAGTAGTCAACGGAACAGGATGGCAAAAACCCCAAGGGAATTATTTAACAAAGTTCACTCGTCGTTACGCAGTGTGGTGGAACGCACTTTCGGTGACTAGAAAAATCGATGGGGTTTATTCGAGACATGCCTCGGTATGACTTTGCAAATGTGCAAGTTTAGTTAGTAGATGCGTCAATGGCATTACATAATTATATACGGCGAAATACAGGTAATCCAACAATTATTCTTCCAATTTGCGACGAGGAAGGGACTATGACAATAGTAAATGTCGTACCAGAAGTTGAACATGACGAGCATGGTTTAATGGTTGGGGATGAGGATCCGCATATGGCATTGGTGCGACTTCGCATACGCGACAAGGTAGTGTACTTGCGTAATAACGGAACGTTAGGAAATATATAATAGTCCACCTAATATTCGTAGGGTTGTAACATTGGTAACACACGTGGAACAGACTGTATCAAATATATTATCATGTACAATATGTATGTGTTTGCACGGGAATATAATCTCTTTCAGTTGGTGACGTGCCTAACTTTGAAAAACTCAAAACCACAGGAAAAAGTCTTTTCGAAAAAAAAAAAAAAAAAAAACCAAGGTCAAACAAATAAGAAAAATAAAAAAAACAAAATCAAAATTTATGTGCCACGTCCATCAAAAACATAAAAAGATCAATTTAAAACAACAACAAGAAATAAAAAAAGAGACATCACAAATTATCATGTGCCACGGCAATACATATTATGATTTTTGACATCATTTTAAATAAATTATATGAGAAAACGTTTTTCCAAAAATAACAAACAAGTAAAAAATAAAAAATAAATAAAAACATAAATTAGCAGTTGCCACATAATTTAAAAATAAAGAGAACACATGAAAAACCAATTTTAAAAACTAAAAAGAAATTAATGTATACAAATAAAAAGAAATTGACAAAAGCGTAAATGAGAAAAAAACAGAACCACAAAAATAAGCCTCATCCAACAACAACAAAAAAAAATGGAAAATAGAAAATACCATTTGCCACGTAATTTGAAAAAAAAAATGAAACACATGAAAACCCATTTTTAAAAAATGAAAACAAATAAATATATACAAATAAAAAAGAAATGACAAAAACGTAAATTAAAAAAAAAAAGAACCACAAAAATACGCCTCACCCACAAAAATAAGAAATAAAAAAATAAAAACATAATTTAGCATTTGCTACGAAATTTAAAAATAAATAAAACACATGAAAATCTATTTTTCAAAAATAAAAACAAATTAATGTATACCAATAATAAAAATGACAAAAACGTAAATTAAAAAAAAAAGAACAAAATAATGTATACAAAAACAAAAACAAAAAAGACAAAAACATAAATTAAAATAAATATAAAACCATAAAAAGACGCCTTGTACAAAAACATAAATTTAAAAAAAATGATAAAAAGATGCGTGATACAAAACAAATAATAATATTAAAAAAAAAAAAAAAAAAAAAAAAAAAAAAAAAAAGGAACAATGACGCTGACGTGGACCCTCATCAGCAAGGAGTTGAAATAGCCAAATTACTTGAAGGGCAATTCGGTCATTTAACACAAAGACAACTCATCAAAAAGTAAAAAGTCCTTTTCAAATTAGGCTTTTTAGCCCCAAACTAAAATAGCTAAAAAGCCAACTCACTTCCCAAACCAACCCTAAAAAAACCAAAAAGCCAACAACTTATACCAAAAAATTAAAGATTCTTTTTTCTCTTTACTTTTTGCACATCTTTTCATAAAAAGTCAAAAAGTCATTCCAAATATAATAGTTTTTTTTAACTCATATTTTAGTCAAATAACTAAAAAATTACTAAATTAGTCTGTTTCCAAACGAGATCTTAATAAGATCATTTTGCCTCCTACTTATTTTAACTTCTCTTTCTTTTTGTCCTTCACAATTTTTTTTTGCATAGCTAATCACCCTACCCCTTATCACCATTGCAAATCCATCCACCATCACCACCACCACCACCATCACCATCACCATCATCATCACCTTGCCCATCCAATCTCCACTCCCACACACGCTACATCATATTCCACATGCCACCCCAACTCCATTGGCTAAAATTTAATGGGATGTAACCATTATAGGATTGACCATATATACAAGATTAAAACCGCTTTCCATCTATAAATAAATAAAATAAAATAAGATTTTATTGTTAGTCTGAAGTTGGTACAGCTTGTTTGTTTTTGGTTTTTCAAAAAGTTTTGCTTTATTATTTTTTCTGTTTTTTATTTTTACTAAATTTTTTAAATATTTTAAGAAATTTTTTTAATTTTTAAACACACCTAACATAAATATACATAAAAAGTATAATTTTTGTGAAAAAAATCTTTTAAAAATTTACTAAATATCAAAAATACAAAAAAAAGGAGAATTCAGTATATTTTTCGTATTTTTCTATATTTCTTAATTTTTTAAAATATTTTTTCACAATTTTTTTATTTTTTAGATACATCTAAGTAAGGTGCATCTAAAAAAGTAAAAAAAAAATGCTTAAAATTTTAAAATTCTTCACTAAAAATAAAAAAAAAAAACACAAAAAATAAAAAATAAAGACTCAATTTTTAAAAAATTTAATCCAAAAAACTCAAACTAAACACGCAAAATTAGTTTTTCAAGATATTTTTCTAAGCATATAGCTTTTTCAATAATGTAGGACATAAAATCAAAGTTAGTCTCACACTAATGGATCCCCTGTTGATTTACTTTTCCTTTTTTCTGATATTTTTCTACTGACTAATAAAAAAATTTATAAAAAATAAAATAAAACAAAACAAAGCAAAGAAAGTTTAATCTTACAATGATATAGTAAGACGTATTATGAGATTTAGACTTTGTTTGTCATCCTTTAAAAAAGTTAAAAAGTTACTATCATATTTAAGTTACATCATCTTGTTTAAGTCACATTATCTCTCTATCACATCATTTCAAACCCAACCCATACTCAATCCATATTTCATAAAAAATCAAAAAATACACTTATTTAAAATATCCCAAATAACCCCTTAATAAATGCATTTATGATCCTCAAGATCCACTAGCTTTGAATTTAAAATAAACCCAAGATATGCATGGTCACAAGTGCAGATCCTCTTCAAAAAAAAATAAATAAAATTGAATAATACGAAACTAGTATTTTTTTGAAAAACGTTTGAGGGCTCGAAATCCAAAATGACGTCGTTTTGGGTTTCATTTTTTTTTTTAACTTTTTCTCCTTTTATTTTCGTTCCCTTTCCTTTTTGAAACGGGGAAGAAAGAGAGAAGGCAAGAAAGAGAGACGAGGAGAAAAGATGAGAGAAGGGGAAGGAGACGGTGATGGTGGTGATGGCGGCGCCGGTTGCTGGGTTGGTGGCTCTCTCTCTCTCTATGCCTGTGGGTGGCCCTCTCTCTCTCTCTCTCTCATATATATATATATATATATATAGATGTGTGTGTATAGATCTGTCTGTGTAGTGTGTTGTTTTTTTTTTAAATTTGTGAGAGGGTAATTTATAAGTAAATTGGGCCGAGCTAAAGGCTTCTTTGGGAGATAGGCCACGCGTTGGACTGAGATAAGAGTTGCTGTAGCTCAGTAGAAAAACTAACAAAGTTGGGCTAGATGAAGTTCGGACCGAGCTGTGGGCCGGGGTATTTGGGCTTCGCAAGTTAGACCTCGTCCTTGTTAGCTCGGTTAGAGACGGCTGCAGTTAGCTCGGTTTAAACAAACAAAACCGAGGTACAAGAGAATAAGGGCCGAGCTAGGTGTTGCGTATGAAAACACCAGATTTGATTATGACAAAGGGCTAATGTTAGCCCAGTTGCTTTGTTATCCAATCGTAGTAAAAACTATCTCACTTGGTTTAAGCGATGAGGAGGGTGTTGAAGGATAAGCATTGTCTTTCAAGAGTGTGATTCCTAAGAGGACTCTACATAGAGGAATAAGAGTCCTACTAGGATTGTGCCAGGCAAAAACTATAAAAGCTCACAACAGAACCTATGTACAAGTATCACAACTTTGATTCTCGAATACACAGAGCTTTTGTCTATTTGTCTATTTGTCTATTTTGCTGACTTAGGCATCAGAGAGGTATCCGGCACACACCCGTCGGCTAGCTCACGTTTGTGTTTTCAGGGAGTAAAGCGACGACGTTTGGAGGAGCGCAGACTTGATCAACAGGATTATACGAGAACATTATTCCGTGCTTGTACAATTGGCGTCGTCTGTGGGAATTCCACAAAGAACAAAACCTCTTGATCAAGCTTTCCTCTCTAGTTGGAAGCAATGGCGCACAATGAAGACTTACAGCAATCCGCTATTGATGGGCAAACCCCGGAAGTGGGTGCGAGGCGTGAAGGTTTGCCTTCTATCCCTCCCATGGCGGATTTAGAACCCCAGCAACAGAAGCCCCGGAGGGATGCAAGGGGGAGACGGGGCGGTAGCCCCCATCGCTCTCAAAAGTCTTGATAGACAGAGGCGGAGGCTAGATCCTCAAGTTCTGGAGGATCACGTAAGGGACCAAGACGAGTTGATACGAAGGATGACGGTGGACATGGAGTCAATGAAATGCCAGATAAAGGGAAAATGAGTGACGACAGGAGAGGGGCGCAAAGGCAACACGCCCCCTCGCTACTCAGAAGATCGTGACAGGCATACCACACCATCGCAAGCAGAAAGTAAGAGCCTTAGAACAAGCGACACTTAATCGAGGACCTCCAAGACTCGTTACTCCAGGTCTAAGAGAACGAGAACTGAGAGGTCGTATACTGAGGGAAGCACCTATCGGCCCTCGCACACGCACCAGATGTCATCTAGGCACACGGAGCTGCCTAGATCATCTGACTTGCGAACTGTACTTGAAGAAAGGGCCCGGTGGAAGGAGGACACCAGGGCTCGCAACCCGCGCAGAGTTTCAGCCCTTCAGCGGTTGGCCCCTCGGACGCATGGGAGCGTCGAGGTAGGAATGCCAATGCTGCACCTTGCTTACGAACCTGCAGACAAAGTATTAGTAAGGTTACAGAGCTTGCCGTTCGTTCCAACAATTGAGAACGCACCACTACCCTTAGGCTTCCACCAGCCCAAATTCACCACTTATAAGGGGAAGTCTGACCCCTACATACACCTGAGCCACTTCTGCCAGGTTATGGCAGTATACCGGCGAAACGAGGCTTTAATGTGCATCATATTTCCATCCAGCCTTGGCGACCTAGGTTTAACCTAGTTCAAAAGGCTACCAGAGGGCAGCATTGCCTCATGGGCGCAACTGGCAGAAGCGTTCGTGACTAGATTCAGGACGAACACCAAAACACCAGTGGAGA